CTGCGCGGAGGAGCCAGAGGCGCCCTCGCCTCGCTTCCCCGCCCCTTCGCCAGCATCCTAAGTCAGCGCGCACCTGGCCGCCGCCGCCTTACCTGCCTCGCGCTCCGCGGAGACGCCCAGCTCAGTCACGGAGGAGCGGTGCCCCTGCGCCCGGGCACGGCGCGCTGGCGAGCGGACGCGCGGGAGGCTCCGGACGGGGACGCGCAAGCCTGCCCCTCCACCGCCGGCGCTTTTGGAGACGCGCCGTTGAAGTTGCGCCCTGTGGATCGCTGGGCCGGGCCGGGCCGGGCCGGGCCGAGACAGTGGAAAAGCCCCGTCCGGAAGGCGAGCTTCTCACCTGTCTTCCACCTCTCCATCACTGCTCCCAAACGGCAAGCGAAATACGGCAATCCTTCTTCCTCCCTCTTCCAACCCTTCCTTCCTTCCTTCCTTCCTCCCTCCCTCCCTTCCTTCTCCTTCTCCCTCTTCTCTCTCTCTTTCCCTCCCTCCCTCCTTTCTTTCCCTTCGTTCTTCTCCCCCCTTCCCTTCCCGCGCGCGGATCTTCACCTGCCCAACCTTTCCTTTCCCCCAAGACAGCGGGCTTAGTTAGGGTGGGCTTAAGCGCTTACATCACCCTCATCCTCGGCGCTCCCCTTCATGGAGGACATACGTTATCAGCTAATGAGCTTCCATAATGAGCGGCAGTCTATCTCATTATCGGAATCCAGGCGCAGACAGGCAAGGACAGGCCCTGCTTGCTCCAGGGGGATTTGGCGGCTGAGACCAGCTCTCTCTCTCTCTCTCTCCTCAGTGAAGCCAAAGCAAGACGGAATTCGGGGCTGGGGGCGGGGAGACGGGGAAGCGAGGCTGCCGGACTCGTTTTGGGGTCAACCCTTGCCTGCTTGGCAAGGCGGACATAAAACGAGGAGGAAGGGGCTCCCCCTTTCTTGGACAATTCACGAACTTTCATCCGGAGCAATTTTTCTGCAGCCTCAAGGGGGGAAACCCCCCCCCCTCCAATCTCTCTTCTGCAAAGCACAGAGAGGCGTTTGGCTCCGTTAGGACCCCTGGATGGATTCAGAGGGTGCCCCTCCCCCTGCCCCCAAATTGCAGAGAATGATTTGGAGGGGTGAACCTTCCTCTCGCCCCCGACTGACTCGCGAGGAGATACTCCTTTCCGTTTGACTTTGGAGCCATAGTTAGCCTCTTTGGTAGGTTTCCGCTCTACCTGGACCCCAAACTTTTGGGAGGGTCCTGCTGTCACAGGACGAAACAGGACCCTCGGGTCTGAAATAGGTTTTCTGGATCAAAACAGTGAAATCGTATTATTTGGAGGATCTGCTCAAATATACTTGAGCACTGCTTGTGAATTAAAAGAGACAGACACTGACCCCTTCCTTCCTTCCTTCTTTCCTTCCTTCCTTCTCTCACCTCTCCTCCCTTCCTTCTTTCTTTCCTTATTCATTCCCTCTATTCTTTTCTTCTTTCTTTCCTTCCTTCTCTCACCTGTCCTTCCTTCCTTCCTTCCTTCCTTCCTTCCTTCCTTCCTTCCTTCCTTCCTTCCTTCCTTCCTTCCTCTGTCCTTAATTCACACCCAGGATATTTTTTCCTTCCTTCCTTCCTTCCTTCCTTCCTTCCTTCCTTCCTTCCTTCCTTCCTTCCTTCCTCTCCCTCCCTCTTTCTTTTCTTTTCTTCCTTCTCTCACTTCTCCTTCCTTCCTTCCTTCCCTTCCCACTCCCTCTCTCCCTCCCTCCCTTGTCTGACATACACAGTCCCATCCTATCCTAGAATTACGTTCATCACTTTCCCCGTCTTTCCTTTTACTTCAGTTTCTTTGCAAAATTGTAGAATGAATTCTTTTTTTTAAAGCTCTTTTAACCTTCAGGCCCAAAACAAAAAGCAATAGCTGTGCATAAATGGTGTTCCTCTTAAAAATTCCAGCCCCCCCCCCCCCCCCCCCCGCTTTTTGGCATGCTTCAAGTGAACGGATCCAGGCACTTAAATTAGACATGCTCCCTCCCCCCCTCCTCCCCCCTCCCTCTCTCCCTCTTTCATTTATTACTAATACAATCCTCTTAACTGTGATTTATTTGTTAAACAAAGTGCCATACTCCATCACTTATTCATCTTAATTTCAACAAAATTAAAGTCCTCACTGTTCCACTACACCTAATTGCGCTGGCAATGAAACAAACTAAGATGTTAATCAAAATAAATTGAAGATAAACAATAGAATCATTACATCTTTGCAGCCGTAAGTGTAACTAATCAGTTTTGACTTGAAGCAACCAAACACAAATAATGAATCTGTCAGCAAAACGGCACTCATTAAATAAAGGCACACTCAGCTGGAGCCCCTGAGGCTGCCTACACCAGCCTGCCCTCCGAGACAGCCGCGGTTCCCACCCCAAAAAATGCCCACATGGTTCTGGGCAAGACGCGGTAGCCCCGCTGGTGGTGACAGAGAGAAGGCACTTAGAAATCCAGAGGCGCTTCCTCCAGCCCTGATCCTGCGGGGTCCTGAATGTGGCTTGGGGAGTGGAAAAGAGGATCCCCTAGATGGGGGGCCAATAAAGGAGAATATGTGTAACATAGGGTTGCAATGAGGGCTCCTTGGAGTTGTGCTCTTGCAGAGGTATCGTTACCACAACTAGGTAACATCTTCAGTGCTAGAAGGGAGGGAGTGGGAGGAGGAGGAGGAGGAGGAGGAGGAGGAGGAGGAGGAGGAGGAGGATGGGGAAAACTGTCCTTGGTGCTCTCTCAATTTGGTGGTTTTCTTGCAGACGTTTCATGACCCAAACTAGGTAACAACATCAGTGCTAGAAGGGAGTGGAGTTTGTGGTAGTGGTGGTGGTGAGGAGGAGGAGGAGGAGGAGGAAGAGGAGGAGGAGAGGGAAGAAAAATAAGAGGAAGAAGGCCGGGGGTCCTTAGGGCTCTCTGAGCTCGGTTGTTTCCTTGCAGACGTTTCATGACCCAAACTAGGTAACATCATCAGTGTTATGAAGATGTGGGCTGCCCCCTCTCTCCCTCCCTCCCTCTCCCCCGCTCTCTCTCTCTGCCTTCTAGTACTGATAATGAAATTTGGGTGGTGCAACCTCGGCCAGAAAACTACCAAGCTCCAAGAGTACCGATGACCGCTCCCTGGTGGGGGTGATCCAGAGCATCGCACCCATGCAAGACGGAAAAGATCACCCTGGATCCTGAATGCGCTCTGTCTGATGGAAGAGGGGTAGCTGTGAGGTGGGAAAGGGTGGGCAGGAGAGGGAGAGAGAGATCCCACGAACACACAACCAAGGTAGTCGTGGGTCAGTTTTCGGTGGCTTTCTAAAAGCAGCTGGGCACCTCCGATCTCTCCCTTCCTCTAGTCCTCTTTGAAGCAGGGGTCCTGGGTTCAGGGCAGCCTTCAGGAGATATTGTCCTTCCTTGACCCGCCTCTCAAGAGCTTTCAACCAGTATGCATCCCTCGCGTCTCTCTTCCTTCCCAGAGATGCCACCCCACTGAAACTTTTCCGCGTGTCTTTTTTTGAGGGGACGGTGAGGGGGCCGGCTTACCTTCCCTTGCAATTCCCATCCTGGGAGTGTCTTCTTCTGCAGGTCCGCAACTCACCTGCAAGGAATTGAGCCACGAGGCTGGTCAGTCTTAACCTACAGCTTTGCTAAGAACTCGTTTTCTAGCAAAGGTGATTTATTATCATTCATCCCGTTATTCATCCCGTTGCCACCTGCAGAAATGGGAGCTTGTGGCTTGTGAGCGTTGGGCCAGGGATGGAAAAAAGGACCAAAGAATTACAAAAACAATCTCATTTTATCGATAACAGGGATCCATTTCCTTCTCTTGTGCCTTAGGATGAAGCTGCTGGAACCCTGGAGTCAAATGCCCCAAAGGTGCTTTTCTTTCCATAGGCAACTGGACTTTTTAATTTTTTCCTTTGAAGACATTTCGCTTCTCCTCCAAGAAGCTTCTTCAGCTCTGACCGGATGGTGGTGGAGAATGGAAGGATTTATGCTCCTTGCAGACAGCTGGTCGTTTGCCTCCTTTTAGAGGGTCGTTGAGGCCAACTTGGAGGTTGATCCGTGTCCTCAGGGTCACCTGAGTGGTGCAAAGGGATGTGTGGAGCTTTCTTGAAAGGAGCTGAGTTATAGACTGAAGATAGATGCTGTCCTATCTCTCCCACTCCACTGAGATGGCTTTTCAATTTTGACATAACGTGCCTCTTTGACCCCTCTTTCAAACCAGTGGTCCTCTCTGTCCAAAATGTGGGCGTTTTGTGGAATGCAAACCACCAGCTGTCTGCAAGGAGTATTGGAGGAGAAGCGAAACGTCTTCAAAGAAAAACAAGGAAGTCCAGTTATCTCTGGACAAAAAAAGCACCTTTGGGACAACCCTGAGCTGGACAACTGAAAATCTCCGTAGGCACCTAGAAACAAAAGATATATTTTGTTTCATTCAGAGAAAAGCTCTGATTTCCCCAATTCCTTTACCTGAAGCCCCGCCCTTCTCCCCTTGCAGCAAAGGAAAATAAATAGATGCTTCTATTTCTATTTCTTCTTCTTCCATTCCCCTGAAGGTTAGAAGCAGGCTCCCGTTCTCCTATTTCTTAGTCCTTCCGCCTCTCTCACCTGGGTGGCCTCCAGCCACGTGGAACTACATCTCCCAGGACTCTTAGCCATGGCAGAGAGGGATGCTGGGAATAGGAATTTGGCAACAGCCAGGAAGCTAAGGATTCTCACCCCCGGCTCTGATGCTGGATGCAACTTCTTCCCTCACCAGCAGGCAAGCGAAGTGGGAACAGAGGGAACAGCCTCTGATGGGTTAGGAAATGTTCTCCTGAAGGTCGAGGAAAAAGCGCCAGGAAGAGCAACTAAGATGATGAAAGGCCTGGAGACTAAAACCTATGAAGGATGGTTGCAGGATTTGGATGTGGCCAGTCTAGCAGCATCCCAGTATTTGAGGGGCTGCCACAAAGAAGAGGGGGGGCTCAACTTATCCCCCAAAGCCCCCAAAGGCCAGACAAGAAACGATGAGTGGAAACTTCAGTGTTCGATGCTCCTCCTCTTACAGGGGGCCCTGGAGCCCAGAACACTGGTGTGTCTTTGGGTACCGGCATTTCCTCACCAACCCCGGCATGCTGTTGCCTGGCAACGCCGCACTGGTGCCCACTCCCCAAAAGCTCGCTAAGGAGCATGCTGCCTACTGGCGCACCATTAAGTGAGACCTTTTGGACAGCGACACACCACTGCCGGGTTGCCTTTCCTCTCCCTCCCTTATTAAATCGAGATTAAATTGAGACTGTAATGAAAGTGTTAATGAGATATGCTGTCTGTCTGTCTGTCTAGTTCTACCTTCCTACCTATTGTCTATTATCCACCCATCCATCCATCCACTCATCCACCCATCCACCCATCCATCTAACTATCTATATCTGTTTCTATTTCTGTCTGTCTGTCTATCTATCTATCTATCTATCTATCTATCTATCTATCTATCATCTATCTATTTCTATCTACCTATATTTCAATCTATCATATCTCTCTCTCATATCTCTCATATCTATCTATCTTATCTATCTACCTCTATCTCTATCTATCTCTCATATCTATCTATATTTCTATCTGCTTCTATCCATCCATCCATCCATCCATCCATCCATCCATCTATCCATCCATTTCTATCTATCTACATCTATGTCTGTCTCTCTGTCTATCTATCTATCTATCTATCTATCTATCTATCTATCTATCTATCTATCTATCTACCTACCTATCTATCCATCCATCCATCCATCCATCTATCCATCCATCATTTATCTAAATAGCGAGGACACATGATCATATTTCTATATATACGTCTGCATGTCACACTGATGCACTGAGACCTTGTACATTACACCAGAGAATAACACAAATATTCTTTTAACATTTCAGAAATGTGTCTCGCTAGCACTTTATACATTTCAGAAATGAGGCTACTCTCACCTAAATGGCCACCCTGTTTCTACTACCTGAAGTCCGTGGATGGACGGAGTGCTATAAATTTTAACAATATTTTGTCGCAAGATTTGTGGGACAGCCGGTTGGGGGAGATTCCAGCCTGATTTATGTATTTCTTTCCTTTAGCTGGGATTTTAGTACCTGCCCTCGCCTGTAATCGCTGGCAGGTTGCGGAGAGGCTCAATTCACCAATGATTTATGAGAAGCTGAGCACTCTGATAATATTCTTAAACAAATGGGGAGATAGTAATAAAGAATCAATGCTGGAAAGTTCGTACACCTTGGCGAATGATGGTTAAAGGAAAAGCTATTCCGGTCTTTGTGTTTGTAAATCCTGGTTTGTTGCTAACCATCTAGGCTTTGCAGACAGGCTGAAGGGCTGTTGGCCATAACTCTTCCCTGAGTGTCCATATTTAAATCTCTTTCTGGTGTGAAGTGGGGTATGTGTTTCATTTTAGGTCAATTAGCCAGCCCTCTTTTATTTGGGGACTTTCATTCCTTATTAAGGGGGATTTTGCAGAGGTGAATTATTGCTGTCCAGATGATCATAGGCCCGAGAAGGAGTGGGGGGAGTGGGGAATGGGGCTATTATTTTCTTTGTGAATCAGGCATGCAGAGGTCATACACAGTGCTTCAAGGGAAATATATTATCCTATGGACTCCAGGGGCTTGTTAGCCATCGGTGGAAAGAAACAAACTGGGCCAAAAATGTCTTTTTTTAATTTGTGTGTGTGTCTGTGTGTGTGCGGCATGTGGAGTTGGGGCTGGAGACCATCCCACACACTTGCAAACTTAGTGGTTTTCTGCATGTGAGAATGAGAACTGAAGCATGCAGTTAAGTATTAGTACCGCTTTATCAAACTTTAGTAAGGCCACACCTGGAATACCACATTCAGTTTTGATCATTACGTTACAAAAAAGTTGGAAAAGGTGCAGAGAAGAGCAACGAGGATGATTAAAGGCCTGGAGACTCTGTTTGGTTCATAAAATTTTCCAGCTCTGGAGTCTTTGGCCACACTAATTGCAAGAGGCAGGGGATAAGGGTGGGATTCACACGCACTAAGCCAAGATTGCCTTAACCAGGTCTTTTAAAATAAACCCCCATTGGCTGACCTTGTGCAGCACAGCCAGCCACAAAGGAATTTTAAAATGGCAGGTCTATCAAATAGGGTGCAAATATGGAGGAGGAGGAGGGGGAGGAGGAGAAGGAGAGAGAGGGAGAGGAGGAGGAGGAGGAGGAGGGAGAGGAGGAGGAAGAGAATGGGACTGTAGGGTCTTTGGTGCTCTCTGAGCTTGGTTGTTTACCTGCAGAAGTCTCATTACCCAACTAGGTGACATCACCAGTGCTAGAAGGGCATAGAGTTTGCTCTATGTTTGCATACAGTTCCTTCTAGCACTGATGATATTACTTAGTTTGGGTCATGAAATATCTACAAAAAAAACAACCCCACCAGGCCCAGAGAGCGCCAGGGACTCTCTCAGCTCTTCCCTGCCCATCTGCATTTAAGCCTGACTGCCTGGAGCATCACCCTTGCACAGCCCCAGCGGGTTTCTAATCCTCATCCCCAAAGGAGAGAAATTCTGGATTCAGGCACTGGCCTCTGGTTCTCTTATAAGTTCAGCTCTAAGTTCACATGCCCCCCCAGCTGGGTCTGGACCACGGGGGCAGCATGCTGGCTTCCTGGGAGACTGTCTATAAACCCCCCTCCCCATTGCACCCGTTTCCAGGCTACAGACGGAGGGGCGGCCAGCCGCCTCATCATATCTTCTACAGGGGAATATCCTTGCTAACAGCTATTCTAAGAGAAATGATGCATAAAACTCATCTTAATTAGCACATCGCAGAACAGGAGCCATAGAGCTAATTGGTGGGGGGGGGGCGTAGGGAGAGGGGTTGCCAAGCATCTGAATTGTTGATCAGGTGACCTTGGGAATGCTGCAACGGTCATAAGTGCAAAAACAGTCACAAATCCCTTTTTTTCCAGTGCCGTTGCAAATTTGAACTGTGCTCCCCAGAGTGGGTTTGGCTGGCGAGGGAAGGCGCTCTGTGCATGCTCAGGTGCCTGCTACTCCTATCAGGCATTCCCCGAGTGGGGTGGGCGTCTTCTGACCCGAAGGGAACATTTCCATCCAGATATCCGTCTCAGAATAACAGAATTGGAAGGTTTAATAATTTAAAAAAAAAGTCTTTGAGTGCATGGAAATTGATAAATTAACCAGGGGACTAAAAGGGAAAGCTGGCATGGAATATGCATGGGAAAAAATGGTATATCTGGATTGACAATAGATATAAGAATAGAAAATGTAAATAATGTATATAAATAGTTATGAGGGTACAGAAAGTAGTGTGATTGTATTGAAAATAGCATTGAAAGATTGGATAGGATGTATAAATGTATATATATATATTGTCACAGTATTAGTAACGGTATTATGTATAAGTGGAAAAACCTAATAAAGTGTTGAAAAAAAATCAGTTGGAAGGGACCTTGGAGGTCTTCTAGTCCACCCCCCTTTAATCAAGCAGGAGACCCTATACCATTTCAGACAAGTGACTGTCCAATTTCTTCTTAAAAACCTCCAGCGATGAAGCACTCACCTCTTTTGAAGGCAAAGCTGTTCCACTGACTACAGGTAGCCCTCAACTTATGGATATAATTGAGCCCGCAAATAATGCCATTAAGCGAGACAGTGAATTTTGCCCCGTTTTTTTACAACTTCTCTTGCCACAGCTGTTAAGTGAACCACTGCCGTCGTTAAGCTTGTAACTCGGTCGTTGAGTGAATCTGGCTTCCTCCATTGAAGGTCGCAAAATGGGATCACAAGGCCCCAGGAACACCGCGACTGACATAAACACACACGAACCGGTTGCCATGGTCGCGTGAATTTTGATCACGTGACCGCGGAGATGATTACAACGGTCGCTAAGTGTGAAAAGCGGTCATAAGTCTCATTTTTCAGTGCTGTTGCAACTTTGAAGGGTCACTCATTTGTAAGTAGAGGCATAGCTTTTCAATTCGAAGCACTTAGAATAGAATAACAGAGTTGGAAGGGGCCTTGGAGGTCTTCTAGTCCAACCCCCTGCGCAGGCAGGAAACCTTATCATATTTCAGACAAATAGTTATCTAATCTCTTCTTTAAAACCTCCAGTGTTGGAGCATTCACAACTTCTGGGGGCAAGTTCTTCACGCGGATGAATTGTTCTAAATATCGGGAAATTTTCTCCTCAGTTCTAGGTTGCTTCTCTCCTCGGTTCGTTTCCATTCCACTTCGAAGTCCTTTTTTCCCTTCCTCCCTTCTGCCTTTTTACATTGAAGAAGTGGAAACAATCCGGATGTGAAACCGGGATGTGAAACTTGTGATACATTTGTAGCTGCGGCCGCTGCGGCCTTTTGTACGACAACTCCCATCGTCCCCGGCCTGCCTTTCCCTACCCGGGGGAGCGGGGGAACCTACAGACTACACTTCCCAGCATCCCTAGCATCCCCCCGTTTCTCTTCCCTTCGCCCCCTCAGCGCGGGCCGGACTGCAAATTCCCGTAGAGCTGTCGACCCCGGGGCGGCTGGGGACGCCGGGAGTTGTAGTTCTCAATTGCTGAGGCGGAGGGTGGGAGGGCGCTCCCAGGCGGGAAAAGCATTCTGCACGCGCTCAGGGGAACGCTCGCTCTTTGCTCGGGCCGGCGGGCGGAGGGGTGTGTGTGTGTGTGTGTGTGTGTGTGTGTGTGTGTGTGTGTGTGT